ATATATATATATATATATATATATATATATATATATATAATTAATATACATATAAACATACATGCACATATATACACAAAACAGGCAAAGAACATTACAAAAATTTTCATTTTCTTCTTTTTTTAATGGTACCATCTGCTAAATAAATTATGTTTGCGTATCTACACATGCATCCTTGATCAATCCCAAATATATTCTATAGAAATTAGTTAAAATCAGCCTACAAACTCATAAAGAATCATGATTTTCATAAAGTTAATTATATCAAATGCATAACTACTACTCTATAATTACTAATGTTTTTCTTATATGAAATTTCCTGAGTTGAGTGTAAGCTATACGTGCGTGAAAAACGTATATAACAACGCGTAAAAATATACAAATGCGGTTCATTTCGCGTTAATTTAACAAATTATTATTATATCGATAATATGATGTTCTGAAAACGAGCATAGTGAACTTTTACTTTGAATTCACCATGAGGAATAGACAGACATCAGTAATAAAAGGAAGTTCTATGTGTAAATATTGTAAATAAACAAAAAACCATCTTCGACAGTCATATCTGGCACTCAAACAAAATTCATTGCTAATCAAGCAACAAATCGTTTTATCTTCATGAAAGTAGAATCTCTTTTTGATGCCACATGACCACCGAGTGATATACCAAGAATGATATTTTTTTCAAAAGTTCAACATTTATTGCACAAAAAAAATGTCCGAAGTGTACATGAAGTTTATTATATCTCTCTGTTACTCTCTCTCTCTCTCTCATCTGCAAAAGGGCACAAGTGACACAGACCAAAGAGAAAATACTTTATTTTCAGAAACATATGATACTGCAAATATCTTTATTCAATTTTATTAAATTATTATTGGATGATATAAAGAAGGACACGGGATATTTATTTTTATTATAATTCGATGGGAATCTCGACTAGGTATTGCTGTGTATATATTTCTTGTTTGTTTATTCGTCATTCTAAAAATACACATCTTTTTCCCGATAAACTGACGATATAAACTCCAGAAACTGAGCCATAAGGACCTAATTTTATTTTTTTCTCTTCTTTTATTTTACGTTTTTCTCTAACCTTTCTGTATGAAAATAATAAATATAAACTACTATAATCTAATGGACCATTTAGATTTACTTAGGTCCCTAAGACTCTATGAACACAGATGATAAGTTTCATATTAGTACACGTACAATATATTTGACAAAAGAGTTTACACTGTCCTTATTTATTAACTTTGAATATTATCACAATCCATGAAGTTAAAAAATTTCAAAAACTTTAATTTATTAATCTTGCCAAAATATAGCATATTTAACTGAATAGAAGATTTAATTAAGCAAAATAATTGAATCTACTTGTATAATTCAATATTTGTAGCATTGTTATATCACATTATTTTCTTTGACTTCTTTATTATATAGTCTCATATTAAATATCACAATTATTTCTTGAAATTAAATGCAATAAAAAACTTTAATGAAAAAAAGAATAAACGTTATTTTTTGCGATAATTTGTTATAAAATTTATTATAACGCGGATAACGTCGTGTAATATAGGGATTTAAATTTCATCACAGACTTTATATCACAAATATTATTTAAAACCTGAGAATCTGACTGTTTCCCATACATCTATGTCAGGAAATCTTTTAAATACATTTCATGAAACTCTAGAGATCACCTGTGTACCCATACAAGAATCAGTGTTTTTAAAACAGAAATGTTATAAAACCAGAAAAGGAAGAGAATGAGAGTCATGTCCAGTATCATAACTACAGCAAGGATGGACGGATCATCGATAACAGTGGCGCAAGAGACGTAAGGACTAGTGTGGTGGATGGTATACCTGAGTCCTCTAATCGCTTCTTTGTGCGCCTGAAACATCTTGACGTTGTTCATGTTGCTCTGCCAATACTTCACATAGCCTGCATGATCTCCTGTGACCATCCAGCTCTCATTGTGTGACCATACCATTGTTCTCACTGGACTATCATGTGCCTACACAGACAAAAAAAATCATTTGATTAATATCTGAAATTAGTATATATTCTGTAAGACTAATACAGTATAATCAAATTTCTATTTCTGTATATATACTAGATACCATAGTATATAACACTACATACTAGTGTGTATATATACATATATAGCACACACACTTACAAACACATACATATGAACACGTGTAATTTTCAGTAGGAATTATGAGACACACAAAATAGTAGTAAATTACAAAATAATTTAATTGGTGACAAACAAAAATTTAGTTAATATTAAATTATAAATAAAGTACATAAAATACCTGTAGAATAGTTTCAAAATTAAAGGTAAGACCATTCCAAAGAGTAAATTCCCCACTAGATGCACCAGTAACAAGACGTCTTCCTTCTGGTGTCCAAGCCATACAAAAGATGGGGCAACGCATTTTATTTGTTGCAGTCTTCACAAATCTTGTAGTAACTGCATTTATGGGATTGTCAACATAACTGGGTGGTGGAAGTAGATCAGGATAATACATCACATCTGGCTGAAGGGCACGCCTGTCTCGAAAATCTCTCTGCCATACTCGATTCTATATGTAAAATACATAACATTATTATCATTAATTATCACTGACATTATAAAATTAAAAAAATTAAATTATTAACTCCCACCTCTAAACTCTTTATGATAGCAGAATTATAATCCACAGTTTTACGCATAACTGATTTCCTAAGTCTTTTTCCATCAAATTCATCTTGTAATGTATCTTGACCAGCAGCAACAATTTTGGGTGCATGGTAAGGTCTGAATGGTTTAAAAAAACCCCTTGCTCCATCTCTATGATTGGTATAGCGATGCTGGTAACTTCCAGATGTGTTTATAGTAGTTAAATTAGGAGGAGGAGCTGATAAATTTGGAGTAGCAGGAGGTGGCACAGACATATTAGGTAAACTTATAGCTGGTGGAGGATTTGCAAATTGAGTATTTGCAGACATAACGAAATAATTTAAAGGATACTAGAACTTTAAATGTATAAAAGAAAATATAATTTAAGTGGGTAATAAGGGACAAACATATTTGTTGTTTAATATTAACTAATGTTGCTATGCTGAATCCATTGCAGTTATTAATTCTGTAAATAAACATAAAATATGTTTCCCATTATTATTTTATTAAGTACTTTTAATTGTATTGAATTTTTATTAATATTACATTTAATTGATTTTTTTTATTATTTTTATTCAATTCACATATGGTATGCAATACACTGTTGGGTTATTAATAAATGAAAAACACCCAAAATACTGACTTGAGTGTTTGCATAATTTGTTAAATTAAAAATAAAGATTATGTAAATTTCAATAAAATAATAATAATTCTCCGGTTACTTTGACACAAAATTTTCTACCGAAGTATAGATGTACCACCTAAATACAAATGGACAGAAAATGCACTTTCACAATATGTGAAAATGTAATACTGTTTCTCAATAGGTATATTTTGTATATTATTTATTTTTATTATCATAAATTTTAAGATTCTTTTAAGTGATCTGTCATCGTACAATCAAATATATGATAATTGAAAATTAGTACAAAACCTACTTCTATTGAAATCGAGACGTTAATAAAGGTTATACGAATTATCATCCGAGGAAACAGAATGAATTTGACAAATTTTATTAAAAATTCGAATTTTCTCTAATGCAAAATAAAACACATTTATATAAACTGATAAACAACCTGCTCATTAATTGTGAACAAATTTTCTTTGATGTTGTACACTGTAAAACGCTTAATATGTACACAACCACTTATTTTCACAATCTGTATAAAAATGTTTTTGAATTGATTAATAAAATATACAAATTAAAGCGATCATTCCTCAGAAAAAATATCTATAACTTTCGCGTTCTACTTCTACCATATAAATTTAAACACAACGAGCAAACAGCAAGAGAATCGTGTGTCCGCTATGGACGCCATTACTCTTTTGGGCGATGACATCCGTTTTATTCGTATCCACTTCCGACAATGGCTTTAGTAAATTACTGTACTTGTATGTTTTAATGGTGTTTTATCGACTAATACTACTCAACATACATAAATAATCGAAAATATATTACCTTAGTTTTTTTTCTTACATATAACATATAAAAAACTTTAAAAGCGGATAGGGATTTTTAACAAATTTAATTTTACGGATTCTAGGAATTTAATATAATATATAACAAATATTATGTGACTTTTAACACATATGAACACTATTTTTTTCAGTTTTTTATTTTTATATTTTTTCATTATTTTTTATAGAAAATAATTCTTGTAATGAACATAATTACTATCAAGTTCATTTAATTTTCGAAGAATGAAAGTATGATTTCCCTTGTTATTGAAAGGAGAGCCACCTGTTTTAAATTACTAACAATAAATTCAGCACTTTTACCTCTTGTGTGAGAAGATGAAGCATTACTAAAAGTCCTATGACTACTAATTATAGATATATATATTTACAAAAGTTTATGTTTATAATTCATTTCAAGTTTCTTAAAGGTTTTACATAAAGCAATGACTAAAACTTATAAAAATCATTAGTAGTACGATATAAAACGTGTATAAAAGTAATACAAAAATAGAAAAAAAACACATAAATCATGGATAATAAATGTACTATAACAAAGCTTCCTCATCATGTACAACAAAAATTGTGTTATACACGACCACCTTATAGACAAGGGAAAAGATTAACATCTGTGAAGGTAGCATTGTGAAGTTGTATCCTATATTATATAAAATATGCTTAATAAATAATATATTAAGCTATTTTGTTATACTATTTTGACAATTTCATAACATAAATCTAATTTTAAATGTACTTCTTGTAAAGTGCTTTGTTAACTACACAACAATTTCAAGTTCACAAATAATTTTATTTAAAATAAGTAATTTCATAATCTATTTTTTGGATTCTTTATAATATTTCCTTGACACACTAGCTCTATGTAACAGGTTTATACAATAAATGATGAATCAAAACATTTAATGATATGTGGAGTGCCAAAACTCCAATTAGGTGAAGAATTGAAAAAACTTGTTGAACCTTATGGTAATATTAAAAAACTACATGTAGTACCTGATTATCCCACAGAAGAATTTACAGAAGCATATTATGTACTGTATGTACGTATACAAAGTGCAAGGTTCATATCTTTTCATGTTTCACTAATATTATATTAATATTTAATTGAATTTTTGAAATTATGTTAAACAAATAATTTATGTCATATTTGTACCTCATATTGCACATTATATAGAATAGCAAAACGATTCATTGATGGCAAAAATTTTTATGGAGGTTCATTACATGTTTTTTATGCACCTGAACTTGAAACTATCTCAGAAACTAGAGCCAAACTTCTTCAACGTCAAAGAGATGTAGCAATACGTATAAGAAAAAATCAACAAGATGTAATGAATCCAAATATTGATAAATTTATTCCTAAGTATGTAAAAAGCAAAAATAACATAAAAAATTTGGCTTAATATTATAATTGAGTAATAACTTTCAGAGAGCAGTATAACCGAAAAAAGAGAACACCTGCTTTACCACTTACAGAAGAACGTCTCAATCAACAGTATCCTGGAGAAACATTGTCTTCTATTTATGATGGCATACCACAAAATCTAGATCCAAGACCAGTATGTGAACCTTGTTTACCTTCAACTTCATCTGAATATCAAGAAAATGATACATCTATTTTATTACAAACTCCTTATCATCTAACTGAAGCTATTATTAAAATAAACAAATCTAGAGAAATTATATCAGAATCAGATTGTATAAGAAATAAAAGAAAAAATTACAAAGGACAATCTGTTAACAATAATGTTAAAGTTAGAATTGTTAGACCACAACTTGTAGATACAAGTACTATAGTGAAATGGGATTCTACAAATAAGAGTGTGTTTTCTAAACCAAAGAAGATTCAAAGTAATATAACTATTAAATTAATACCAAAAAATGATGATAAGGAAAAGAAGATTGTAATAAAAAATCCAAGGTATATTATATAATATACATCTTTATTAAGTGTATATTCATAGCAAATTATAATTACTGTCTTGTTGTAGTGTATCTCATTTAGTACAACCAAGTGAAGATTTGCAATTGTCAATTAAAGAAGCTAAATCTCAGATACGAGCAGTCATGCAAATAAATAAGGAAAAATCCATTATTTAATATTAAAACATGATGTATAGACAGATTTTGTTAAAAAAGATTTTTTATTTTATATTAAATAAATACATTATTGCAATTGATTTACACATATGTTTACAATTGATTTTTATAATTATTTGAAATCTTTTTAAAGAAAAGGTCTATAAAACATATAAACTATATTTAAATTTTTCCTACTAAAACTAATAATCTTAAATAATAACTGTTGAATCTGAATCCCATTGTATCCCACTTAATTTAGCTTTCGCAACATATTTCTTGTGTGGTGGTGTGTTTTCTTGTAACATTTTTGGAGTAATACCCTTGTTTTTAAAAACCTGTTGTGGTGAATTTGTTGAAAACGTTTGCATTTGTCCATTGTTCGAACGATTTCCAAAAGGAGTACGAACCTGAAAATAAAAATATATGTATAATATATCTATTTTCTTAACAGTAATTAATAATTACAAGTACCTTTGTAAATTCACTTCCATTTTTCTCATTTGAATGAAAAAGTTTCTTTTCATCTGCTGCAGTTCTGCCTTCTAATTTGGAAATCTTCTTTTTTGTAATTGTATTTACTCTTGTTTTTTCACTTTCAGAGTTAGCTAATTTTAGAGATAATGTGTCTTTAACAATACTATCATCAAATGTTATAATTACTTCTTCTTTAGCTATTTGTGATATATTTTTTTCCACATCTTCTGTATTATTTGATTCATTTATTTCAGATTTTTGAGGGTTTTCTAATAAGATTGAGTCTCTCCATACCTTAATTATATCATTATCAGTAGCACACATTTTCTTTTGTTCTGTATCCCTTTCAGCCAATATATCATTACTATTATCTTGTTCTGAGATATTTTGAAATTCATCCTGATCTTCCAATTCATTGTTTCCTAAGGTAAATACAGAAACATTATCATTTTCAAATTATATTTTTATACATTATAATATAAATTAATTTAAAATTATTAACATCACTTCTTACCAATTTCTGAAGTACACTCTGTTCTAGATGACTGACTAGAACATGGTGATTCAGGTTCACTAGATTTGTCATGACAATCACTAATTAAGTTCAAAGATTTTGCTACAGATGTGGTTAAATCAGGCAAAGCTTGTACTTCAGTGACATTAAATTGTGATGACATTTCACAATATACAAATTTTGGATAAAATATGTCTGTATCATAACTACCACGTCTATGCAAACATTCTCGAGATCTTGCTCTTAAACGTTCTATAGATTTTGGCATTAAAATTGGAGTTCTGTCAAAATCTGCAGCTGGAGACCTAGGATCAAGTCCTAGGATCTCATAACGTTCCTTTTCTATAGCAGAAATTATTTTTTTACTATTTATCGGTGTTAAATGAGTCTGTCCACCTTTGTCTTGCTAAAATAATTAGTTATTCATAACTCATTCACAACAATAAAACCATGGAAGTAAAATCTTAGTTTTATTAAAAATACAAATTGCAAAACATGCTACAAATAATTTACCTGTTTTGGTATTTCTATTACATTTGGCATAACACATTTTTTTGGAGTTAAACATAACATTATTTTATCTATATCTGTTTCCAAATATGGTTTACTTTGTAAGTGCTTTGGAATTGATAATATTTTTCTACTTAATCCAATTGGGGTACTTGGTGTATTTATCTATCAATATTAGAAATTTTACATATTGTTTATTATTGTGTAATTTATCAAAATTTAATCTAATATTAAAATTACCTCTATTGGTGTTCTACTTATTCCATTTGTTACAGATCTAGGATCCATAAGTAACGTTTTATGAATTATTGGTGGAGTTTGCATATCTTCATCAACACTTAGTTTATTCGTCGATGTTGGAGCTTTCATTTCTTCCTTTTCGATCTCATTGCTTCGAGACTCAGTATTATAAGTAAAAAATTTATTAACATAATTACCCATTACTGTTATTGTCTCTTTTATATACGTTTCAACACCGTGAATTTCAATATATAAATGATCGTATTTACATTAATGGCATTTAAATTATTTCTTTGTACATATAACGGACAGTAGTGTATTCTAGTTAACATTTAAAAGATATTTATATAGAATTTAGAGTCCTTTTAATGTTTTAGAGTCCTTTGAAATAAAATATAGTAATTGGCTTTACCTTCAATTAAACTTTTTAAATATTTATACCGAACACTATAAAACCCTAAACGTAATAAATGTAACTTCGAACTTAAACATTGCAGTTTACCTTTGAAAATTAAACTGACTAAATGATGAAGTCTTACCAACGTGTAACTTCAAACGAGAAATACCAATATACGAAATTTAAATATTTATTACATATATTTAACATATATCTTAAAACAAAAAGCATAGTTTGTTAAATTTTCTTTTAACAAATTTGAAATATTAACATGAAATATTTTAATATAAAATTTTATTTTAAATATAAAGTCTATTACGACTACCAGAAACAATCTAACTACGGCTATGGCTATTAACAAGTTAACATGTATGTATAATACTTTAATGGAATTTGTGTCATTCACTTAATTATGATTTTAAATATATTGTAAATATCAATTAAAATTATTAATTAACAACTAGACGTAACAAAAAAATAAATAATAAAAGTATACAGTTAATTAATAGTACTAAATATTTTTAGGTTATTGTTTTAATAAAAGAAATGCTTAAGATTTATTATTGTTAATGTCATTTCGATTGTTGTATTTAAAGCAAATAAATATTTTTTCTAAAAGAGCCTCATGTCTGAGTATGAAAGTATGTCATTTACTTTAAGTCCAGAAGAAAATTGTAAGAATGATACAGTTCAAATGCAATCAATCAATCTTGTTTGTCCAGTGTGTGATGCTGGATATATAAATAAAAACGAATTTTATGATCATTTACGTATTCATGCTGGAGATGTATTATTAAAACATGTGCAATACTTAAAAAAAGATACAAATAATGAAATACAAACAGTGCCAAAATATTCTATTCCAAAACAAACAGTTGATGATAATTTTTATGAAACTATATTAAGGCCTTTCAAATGTCAGCAGTGCAGTTTAACTTTTGATAGAGCTTCTCAATATGATTATCATCATCGAAGTATACACTTAGGTGAAAAATCACAGCTTTGTGAAATCTGTGGTAAAGGTTTCTTTCGCAAAGCAGACTTAAGAACCCATTTGAATATCCATTTAGGCACAAATGTTTGCATTTGTGAAGTTTGTGGAAGGAAATTTAATCATATATCTAATTTGATTAGACACTGCAGAATGCATGCTGGTACTTACATTATATATATAACTTTTTATAAAATATAGAAATAATTATGAAAAAAGGTGTTAATCTAAAATTAAATTTTTAGGGGTAAAATTGTATCCATGTTCTATTTGTGGTAAACGTTTTACTCAAATTAGTTCTCTTGCTCGACATAAACGTATTCATGAAAGAGCAAAGGATGATGTTAAATATCATTCACAAAATAATTTTAACAATAGCAATTTACAGAAGAAAGATCATGTAATGAGTAAGAATAAGGTGATGAATAAATATGACATTATCTAATTTTCTTTGAATATAAGTATATCTAACTTTTAATGTATAGTTTGTTGAAGGTAGTGCACTTAATCAGCAAAAGGTTATCAAAAGGCAACATTATTGTAAAATCTGTGGTGAAAGTTTCAATTTTATATTTCTCTTAAGGGAGCATGAAAAATTTCATTTACAAACTTTGGATTGCAAAAACAATGAGGTGGTAAGAATTCTAAAAATAATATTCAAGAATTACATGTTTTTGACTTATTTCTCTCATTTAGAGTTTTCAGAAAACTACAGAACTTAAAGAACAAACACAGCATATTAATAATTTTGACTTTCTTGAAAATGAAATAAATATGAAAAAGTCATTACCATTGGAAACAATTATCTATATTACTTCAGAACAGGTAAATATTTTACTCTTCATAATTATGTAATTCTTAAATATTTCTATACATATTAAATTTTTGCATTGTAAAAGTTGAAGAAAATCAATCTAGAAAACATTGAAGATAATAGAAATCATGTTTCACAAGAAAATTTATGTGAAACAAAAGTTTTAGCAGCTGAAGAATTAAATGCCTCTGAGAAGATAGCATTTAACAATGAACAAAATCAACTTGTTCATGATAGTCCATTTTTATTATGTAAATCTAATAATCCTATAGAAAGAGAAAATGTAGCATATGTTTGTCAAGTAGATGAGAATGTTCATAAAAATAAATTATCTGTACAAACATGCGAATTAGATTTACAAAAATCCGAAACGATATCGAATTATAATACCTTAATAAATACTCCTGTGAATGTTACCGATATGTTTCAAAAAATAGATCTCTCGGAATCTAGTAGCAATGAACATCTTAATTCGGATCCAAATATACATAAAAATCAAGAAACTAATTTAGTACAAAGCGAAAAAATATCAGATGATTTAAATGACATAAATAATATTGTAAATCACGACGAACCAATGTTGCGTTTAGTACAAACAGAAACAGGGGAACAGTTCTATGAATTTTTAATTAACAATTTAGTTGAAAAACTACCAAATACACTATCCACAAAAACTTCGGAGAACAAAGATGAAAATACAAGTATAAATGAAGAAAATCGAGAACAGAATATACGAGATGATATACAAAATGATTTAAATTACACCCAATACGAACTACAAGGTGAAGAAAAAAATTTTGTTGCAAATCAGATTTTATTAGACACGCAAACTGATTTCGACAAATATGTTGAAACAAATTTCGAAGCATTCGAAAGATTAAATTACGATGACAGTTCCGAGCGATTTCTTGAATTTGTTGAAACCACAGGGCTCGAGAATCAAAGCTCAAAAATTTTGGAATGCAATAAAGAAAGTGAAGAATTTTTACAATTCCAAAATTTCAGTGAGGTTGATCCTGTACAATCGAATGAAAAAAATACCATTAACGATAATGATAGTACTAATCGAACTGTTGAAACAGATGAAAAACAAAAACAAAATAAAGATGTGATTAGTGGTAATGAAGAATTAGAAGATGAACAAGATTTAAAAAAGTCAAAAACATTTTTAATAAAGTTTCAATGTACAGTATGTGAAAAGTCATTTTCAACTAGTTACAATTATAAGCAGCATATAGGTACTCATTTTGCAGATCAGCAAAAATTTCATTGCAAAGATTGTAAAATGTCTTTTGCTTGGAAATCAACACTAAATAAACACATTGCAAATAATCATAGACCAGAAGGTCCACAGAAGTTTGCATGTGATATATGTAATAAAATTTATAATACTTCTTCACAAGTAAATGTAAGTATTGTTGAGCATGTTCCCGAGATGATTAAGCTATGTATTGTAGATATTACATGACAGTAGTAATTGTTTTGGTACAGGAACATGTAAAACGTGATCATTTAAAGCAGCGAAACCATGTTTGTTCTCAATGCGGTAAATCATTTTTTAAAAAGTACGACTTGAAAATACACAATAGAATTCATACTGATGAACGACCGTACGTTTGTCGAGCTTGTGGAAAAAGATTTCATCACCGAAGTCATATTATCCGTCATGAACGCATACATTTCTAGGAAAAGATAAGCTTACATTATTTGTTTAAAGGCATAGGGAACAAAGTGTAAAGAAGTTAAGATAGTTATGATTCTTTTATTGAATAAAAATTAATAACAATGTTGTCCTGTTATACTGTTTAGATTGTAACATGTATTGAATATGGTAATTTTGATTATTATCCATTGTAAGGTACTTGAAACATGTTTTATAAATGAGTATTTTTTAATAAAAAAAAAAAAAAGAAAATGTTAATTTTTTACTTTTATTTCTTTTTTCTAGTATTTTTCGTAGATTGTGTATGCTGGAAAAAATCAATTTGTATTATTCATACTTTGTATAGGTTAGTATACTTTAGTCAACTACATATGTGACCTATAAGTCCAGCTTCAACATGGCCGGCACTTGTGACGACGTGATAAATAACGTGGAAAATTTGAGTATAAAGGAAGAAAAGGCACGAATACGGTTTATATTTGATACAATTCTTTAGTTTCATCTTTAACTGTATAATATGTTGATGACCTCGCGTATTTGCAGTTTTAAGAATCTTTATAATGTTTCTAAAGGGACACATGTTCGGGTTGGTTATAGAATATATTATTACGATATCACGTTTTAATATCATATTAAAGATTTTTTATTTTCATTACATTTTCAAACTACTCGTGATATAACGCGTATCGTACCAATAATAACCACCCAAATTATTGAAATCGATAATCTGATGTAATTTGTGCTTATAATTTGTAACGATTGTTGTATTAATTCTATAAATGTGTTAACTCTATGTTTTTTAAATTTAAAAAATAATAAGTGTTTTCGATAAAATTTAATATTTCTGCACTATCACATTAGGCGAAAATGAAGCAATCCAAAAAGAAACTTGCAGCAACTGATGGAAAGTCTATTTCTGAATTAAATCCTTGGCCAAATTATATTCAGGTATATTATTTTTCTTATATCTAAAATCTATACATCTAAACAACTGATATTTGAGATAAACCAATTCAGTTAATTCAGATTAATTTTTAATGCATGCTTATTGCTCAATTATTTTCTTGAATAATTATTTTTTAGGATCGTATTGCATTATGGGACAAACTTAAAGCAGAGTATGAAGCATCATTAACTTCAAAATCAATTGCTGACATAAAAGTAACTCTTCTCGATGGGAAGGAAATTATAGCTCAATCTTGGCATACAACGCCATATGAAATTGCTAAGGGCATTAGCCAAGGTTTAGCAGACAATATTATAATTGCAAAAGTTAATAATGAATTATGGGATCTTGATAGACCATTGGAATCTGATTGCAAACTTGAATTTCTTAAGTTTGATCATCCAGATGCCCAACAAGTTTTTTGGCATTCTAGTGCACACATTTTGGGGGAAGCTATGGAAAGAGTATATGGTGGTTGCTTATGTTATGGACCACCGATAGAAAATGGATTTTATTATGATATGTATTTAGGTGATGCTGGAATTTCTAATTTAGATTTCCCATTCTTGGAGAGCCTTTATAAAACTATAGTTAAAGACAAACAACCATTTGAGAGATTAGTAATGACCAAAGAAGATCTTCTGGAGATGTTCAAATACAATGAATTTAAAATTCGAATTATTAATGAAAAAATACATACTCCCACTACTACAGTATATAGATGTGGTCCATTAATTGATTTATGTAGAGGACCACACATTAGACATACTGGAAAAGTTAAAGCCATTAAAATCACTAAAAATTCTTCTACTTATTGGGAAGGAAATGCTAATGCAGAATCTTTACAAAGACTTTATGGTATCAGTTTTCCAGATGCTAAACAATTAAAAACATGGGAAAAATTCCAAGAGGAGGCTGCTAAACGAGATCACAGGAAACTAGGAAAAGAACAAGAACTTTTCTTCTTTCATGAACTTTCTCCAGGATCGTGTTTCTTTCAACCACGTGGAGCGTATATTTATAATACTTTAATTGAATTTATTCGATCTGAATATAAGAAACGTGGTTTCCAAGAAGTGGTTACTCCTAATATTTATAATAAAAAACTGTGGAAAACATCTGGCCATTGGATGCATTATGCAGAAAATATGTTTACTTTTGATGTTGACAAAGAAACATTTGCATTGAAGCCAATGAATTGCCCTAGTCACTGTATGATCTTTGATGTTCGTAATAGATCTTGGCGCGAATTGCCGTTAAGAATGGCAGATTTTGGAGTATTACACAGAAATGAAATGACTGGTGCGTTAACTGGATTAACTAGAGTTAGGCGTTTTCAACAAGATGATGCACACATATTTTGTTCTGTTGATCAAATTAAAGAGGAAATGATTGGTGCGCTTGAGTTTTTGAAACACGTATATTCTGTATTTGGTTTCACGTTTAACTTATGTTTATCTACAAGGCCTGAAAAGTATTTAGGAGATTTAGCAATGTGGGATGAAGCTGAAAAAGCATTAGCGGAAAGTTTAGATGCATTTGGAGAATCATGGAAAATTAATCCAGAAGATGGTGCATTTTATGGCCCAAAAATCGATATTACAATTATGGATGCACTTCAAAGAGCTCATCAATGTGCCACTATTCAGCTGGACTTCCAATTACCAATTAGATTTGATTTATCTTATGTTAAGTAAGCAAGACAGTACTAAAGTGATTTCAATTGTAGTTGAAATTTTCAATTTTTTATCTTAACCTTTAATTTTTAATTTTAGTGAAGCTGGTGAAAAAACAAGACCAGTAATTATTCATAGAGCTATTTTAGGTTCTGTAGAAAGAATGATTGCAATTTTAACAGAATCATATGCTGGGAAATGGCCGTTTTGGTTGTCTCCGCGACAGGCAATGGTTATTTCAGTAAGCTCTCAATTTGATGATTATGCCGCGCAAGTGAAAGATAAACTTTGGGATAATGGATTTATGGTAGAACTTGACACGGATCCAAGTGATACTTTGAATAAAAAAATACGAAATGCCCAACTTGCACAATTTAATTTCATCCTTGGTAAAGAAACATTTTATACAATATTTTTTGTACCATGTAATAAAGTATTGATATATAATTTTATTTAACCTTTATATGAATACATTTCTAGTTGTTGGAGAAAAAGAACTTAATGCTGGCACGGTAAATGTACGAACGAGGGATAATGTAGTGCATGGAGAAGTTCTTGTTGATGATTTAATAGAAAAATTTAAAATATTCAAAGAAAGGAAGGATAAAAATTGTGAAGAAAAGTTTTAAAAAGCTTCGTCTATACACAGAATATTTATTTATTTTCGATAATTTTAATGGATGCAGTTGTAATAAAAATCAACAGAATTTAAAATCTCATTTTTTTTTTTTAAATATATGATATAATACATACAAGTTATTAAAAGGGAATACTACTGTAAGAAAATCCTGTTTTTAGAGAAACATAAAAGCTTAGATGACTATTTTGCATTTAACTAATATCGTTTAGTAATCAAATTTTAATACATCAAAGTAGAAATAGAAGATACACAGAAATCTGCACTCAAATTTCGGCTCGCCAATCTATGCATTTATGTTTTTATGAAATAATCTGCAATACTATTATAAAAATATTTTTTATTAAATAGATTTTCTCATGCAAAAGTAAGTCTATATATTTTTTGATAAAGTTAAAAAAAGTTACAGATGAAATATGTAAACAACATACTTAGTTTTTTACAAATTTTGTTCTTTATTTGCACATTTGAAGAAACTTTTAATGATAAATTAATTTGAAAGCTGTAAATATTGTTTTTTTTTGCATCTTTATAGCAGAAACATTGAGTGTACATTGTAACTCGAAATGTTCATCTCAACGGCTGTGCTCCATAATTTATTGCAGATACTGTCAATATATGCATATTGCTGGTACTGTAAATTGTTGTAAATTATAGATTGCATTGACAAACGAAAAAGTTTTTGCCCTTAAAATCACTTATGACATCCTTCACAATAAAGTAGCATCGTCGTTTACTATTGTTTTTTGTTTTATTAAAAATCGAAACACTATTTAAAGAACAAACAATTTTTAGCTCCCGTCTTACTAATATGAAGATTACAGTAAGAGTAAAGAGTATAGTATTATTGTAAATTAAAATAAAAATATATTATTATATTTTCAAACATATATCTTGATAATTGTTACAAGGTAACATATAATTAAAAAAGTTACTGCTGTTAATATCAACTGTGTCCCAAATGAAAATGTTTACATGTGCGCAAATATATTTATATTTTTATTACTACAATATTAAAAATTAATTTATTTAGAAATAATTAAAAATAATTTTTTTTAGATATGAACAACATATTTAATAAATTTATTTATTCATGTATGATATAGAATACAAATACAAATGAGGTATAATAAACTTAATTTATAAGATTTTGGACTACACAAATTAAGAAATCGTCTTCGAAAAAAGTAGAAGTTTAACTAAACCTTTTATAATTCAACCCATTACATTTTTAATAAATTATTATCGTAAAACGATATATACGTTCAAAGTTGAATAATGTGAAAATCTACGAATTGTATATTGAAATAACATACAAATACTTTTCCTTCAGTGTTTGTACAAAATTGTTTATCAATAAAAGTAGTCAATACTAACTTTTTAGCTGATATGCGCTTATTCATATTTTGAAAAAACATCTGTTTGCTAAAAATATATAAATAATTATATTTATTGTTATAATAAATTTTTTGGAATACAAATTTATAATAAAAATTTAAGAATATATAATTTATTCTATACAGAAAAAAATTATTCCTTTTTTTCATATAGGTTTTTTAGGTACGTATAAGAGTTTTGAAATTACAGTCAGAACTTATTTATTATTTTAATGTTGTACAAAAAAAAATTGTCAAATTCATCAAAGTAGTAATTCCGATATATGAATAGTGAGCAAAGGCTATGCTATAAGTTAGTTGTTAATCGCTTTAACTAATTTGCAATTCCATTTCAAAATTAAATCGATAATATTGGAAATGACACAAAAATAATTTAGATTATTTAGATTGTGGAGAAAATATATATTAGGTATTGGGTCTATGTTATACCTTATCTATGATATGGTAATTACATTATACTTGGATTATTCGGTAAAATGAACGCGCATGCCTGAAAATATGGAGGTCTGCTTCCGGAAAGAACAGTAAGCGGCAAGTAGGAGTTGAGAGTGCATTGTTTGGTTGTTATAAAATGACAGCCGTTACTATTTCGCCGGCTGTGCAGGGAATTATTCAAGTTGTAAATGAAAGTAACTTGTGTAAAATCGAAAGGTACGTATTTTGTTGATAGTAAAACATAAATTTATTTTGAATACAATGAGAATTTCTACATGGCTATTATCGATTCCCTTGTAGCTTCCTCAATGATACAGCGTATAGGGAAGCCATTGAAAATTCTTCAAATTATAACAGCCGACTATGCAGAGAACGACGTTTACGAATGCCTTTCCTCGATTCTCAAACAGGTATTAGTTATCATAATTTTTCCATAGAATTTTTATTTGTCTAAGCAATATAATGCATAATGCAATGGTAATTTACGTTCTCGAGACCTGCTCGTTCAACAATTTAAGAATAATTGAAATATTTAATACTTTTTTGTTGACTTTCTATTTTTTTTATCAAAAATATTTCACTATAATTGAAAGAAGATAATTGGAGCATTTGTTCTCCAAAATTATTCAATTGAAAATGGTTATTAATATTACATTAATTTTTAAAGTGTAAGTACATAATTATTGCAGTTATCATTGAATTATAATTGTTACTGTTGTAATTTAACTATATAAAATTACAGGTGTAGCACAGAATCATTCTGCGCTATTTATGTCTTCAAGAGAAAGACTACCTGGTTTGTTACATGGTCAGATCTATACATATCCTAGTAAAAGATGGAGGAAAAAACGGAGACAATACTTGATGCATTATTTGCATCCAAAAAGAGGACCAAGAGGAGATACAGAAGATGGTAATGAAGGTGTAGAGATTGTAACACATGTAAATGATGATAGTAAAGATTCAGTGGCCCTTAAAGGTAACTATATTTGCTATTTTTACATTTACATTTAGATAGGGTAAAATTAAAAATATTGTCTGTTATAATAAAATATATATCAATTTCAAGCAGACGAACATAGTAAAGATGCATGGTATTATGATGAGCAAGACATGTTAGATATGGATACATATGAGGAGCCCGATGCTGAAAGTGATTATGATTATGAAGAAAGTTATAGCAGTAAAAGAAAACGAAGAAAACCTCGTGGAGGTGGTCATCATCCTGCACGAAATCATCCATCTACCACAGACAGTCCTGGGGGAAAACGTACTAAGGTAAGTTTGATATGCATTATCATTGTAGTTGTATAGTTATAGAATAAATATTTTATTTCGTCAAGTTAAATAAAATTTAATTTGCTTTTCATTTACGTTTCGTTCTATTTAGTTTCTTTATATCTGGAAGATATTAAATTTGTTATACATTGAATATAGGGTGGGGGACGCGGGCGCAAAAAAACCAACTATGATGCCGTTGACACTGATAAGCCATTCGTTTGTGACCGTAAGTTTAATCACAGATACAACTACAAATGACCACTTCCTGTTACTAGTTTCATTACAAATATTATTATTATTAGTTTTATCAGTTGTTAATTTCGAATAAGAGAAAAAAAAATGCATTGCGTTAGAATATTTGTTAATTTTATTAAATAACTATATTTTTACGAAACCTACGTATTATTTTACAAGATACGCAGAGGTTACTATATAATATAAGACGATGATTGGAAGCTCGAAATAAATTATTAAAGACTTTAGTTTTGGTTGCCGCATAATTTCACATTTGGGGATGGTGATTGAACTAAGTATAATTAAATTTGTAACGTGGGAAGGTGCCCTTTTAGTCGTAAATTAATTTCATATTGACTTTTACTGCTCTTTCATTCAAAGGAATTGATCACTATCGTATTGACTGCTGTTTTCCTTCAAGTTAAAGAATTGCAGTACATTACTTAGCATACTCCAGTCCTTATTGTATAATTTCTGTTTGTATCAAAAACCTTGTATTCCATTTCTCTTTTCCTATTTGTCGAAGTATGAAGAGACATGGTATGATTCATGGATGAAAGGCCAAGATTGATTATGCACATTAAAAAATTTCGAGTTTTTATGCATAAAAGAACCTATAACGATATATTAAACCAAGTTGTATAAAATTTCAATGAAATAGTACGTTGTATCGTTCTCTAGCAAGATAATTATCACCTAAAATCGTATAAGAATTTATTATTAATTCGCGTTTCGAAAGTTCACATCCGCAAATTTATGAATCACGGACACGCATACGACGTATACTATTTATTCCATCTGTTGTGTAGTAGTTAATACAATTTTTTTTCTCTCTTTTTTTTGTTTATCATATCACATAAAATTATGTTTATGAGAGTAGTGTTGATAAGGAATCGGAAGTACGTGAAACATAATTTCACAAACGAGTATCGTCGCGCTTGCCCAAATCTTGAAGGAGTATAATAGTCACTACTAATTTGATCGAACTTTTTCCAGACACGAAGTCTATGAATTAACTCGAATGTGCCTGCAATCTGTTTACTTCTTGAAACCACTCCTGTTAGATTAGCAGAAAATAAATCTAAAGGCATTTGGTCTCGATTAGTAAGCCTCGATCGCATACCGCGAACTTTCACGATATTCTAATTTTTACATCTAGATCACATTGAGCTTACGAATTTGACCAAATATCTTCGGACTTCTATACTACCTGCCAATAACAGAGCAAGAATGTACTGGCTCACACTGTAGCGAGCTCATTCTGTAGGAGTATACAAGCATCAAGCCTTGCATCGTATTAGTTTTGCTTCTTGGGCTGGAACTCCTTCACTGCTTGTCCACATATAGATTCGTAGGTGGATAGGGATATGTACTGGTGCGGAAGGTGTGCAAATGCTGTCCCTAACCCGTAAGCTTCTATCCTAGAATCATCCTTTAACCGCCTCGTTTCTTGAAATTAATCAAGAACTTCTTTTCTGTTTCACCATGGAATGATCTTATTCTGTTCTGTCTTCTGTACTTCAACCTTTGTGATGTTCAGTGTTATAAAAGGTTTACGAATACACTTCTGACGCGGCGGTTAAACAAGTACATCTTCCCATATCGTCCAACCAACTCGTCGACCAAGATTTCTCTTATCATGGACGTTGCATTGGATGGTTTGTGGGAAAACAGTATTTGCACTTTTGCAGTATGCAGCGCACGGTATAAAACCAGACCTGGTCTGGTCTACCATTATGGTCATTCCCACTCTACTTCCTCCGGTGATCCTGCTAAGGAACTAAGTCCCAGTCCTGCCGAAGTTGAACCTAGGAGCGTTGCAGACACCGCTGCTTCGAACCAGCCAGGTTGGAGCCAAAATCAGCTCAATTTTCTCACTTTCCTTTAAAGAACCTCCACCTCTTCCAATTGCCAACTCGTTTCCCTTTTTGATCCGATGCCTTATGATCTTTGATCTCTGGATCCCAATTCTTGCAACTACTTGTTCATACAATCCGAACAACATTTTCCTAACTTGATGGAATTACATATATTCTCTTCTTCTTCTTCTTGTTCTTATACTTCTGTTTTTTTTTTTCTTCTTAATTTACATGTATTGCAAATGCATGTATTGCAAATAACCGTAGTCGTAATGGATTTTTGTGTTTCCACTTTTTCCATAGCGTTTTTCATGCGTATGGAATCTCTCATGCACAATATCGTACCTTCCTTTTTATTTTTCTTTCTTTTTTCCAGTTATACTCTTTTTTGTGGACAGTCGTGTATCGCGTGAATATCATACGGAGAATAATCCCCTAAGTCAGTATGATAACGACGATTTTCTTTCCTTTTGATATATGTATACTTCTTATATGTATACCGAAGATTATGTCTGCCTTACTGTGCTGAAAATTTTCAGATCTCTCTGTTTCGTCCATATTTATATTTATAATACGAATCAGATTATAAAGAGAAATGCAGCGTTCGTTGCGAATGTTTTGCAATAGCATGCTTCTGCAGTACGCATTTTTTGTCTTTCCAACAAATATTCTCGTACAAGAGGACAAAAAGGAACAAAGGATGAGGCGATGCCTTAGTTGACGCCATTTTTATGGAATCGATAGCGTTCCTTGGCACAGCCATTTTTGAATGTTTGGTATGTGTGTGGGTTTTGTTATTTCTGTTTTACATGACAAGTAGTTGTTTCCTTCGTGTCTTTATACAGCATGCGACGATGTTTATTAGTTTCTAGTTGCTATTGTATTATATTTTCTTTCACAGTGTGAGTAGCTATGCTCTTTTCTTTTTTGCCTATCTTTCCGTTTGCTTGCTCTTTCAACTACTGCTTCACTTTTGATTCCTAGAGCGATTTTGGCTTCGATTTTTCCTCTCGATGAACGTCTGCAGAGTTTTAAACTAAAAAGAAATGCACGGAGAGACATTCGTCCCTCTCTTTCTCTCTTTCTCTCACTTACTTTCTCTCTCTCTCTCTCTCTCTCTCTCTCTCTCTCTCTCTCTCTCTCTCTCTCTCTCTCTCTCTTTCTTTCTTTCTTTCTATACTGAATTGCCAAAGTAGTTTGTCACGTTTGTGTGGTGCTGTTTTGTCTAATTTTGGAATACCTTGAAATTACCCCAACTTCATTGTATAATCTTGGAATTGCTCTTTTTGGTGATGGAATGCATCTGATTGACGTAATATGTGCACCTTGTTACGATTATATATTTATATATATCATATCATATATATAAATATATATATATATATATATATATTATATGTATCTATACGTATTATTTCATTTGTTTCCCTATTGTTGTGCCAGTTTCTTTTCATTCGAACATTTGTGATGCATCGAATAATCGATTCTAACTATTCGAGAAAATAATTTTGTCATTTTTATGGTAAGTGATTGTTTGTTGCGAAGATTTTTCAAATTTCACCAAAACTTATTTCTCCAGTTCGATAAAATCTGCGTATAAAACCTGTTTCTTATTTAAGATCACCAAACATTGAGTTTTAGAATTTGTCAATAATTTTGATCAAAATTCTATGGAAAAGATTACTCTGGGTCCTACCAATCTTCGTGGTCACAGATTCCCATAACGTTCAATCACGTTTAAAGAAATTGTACAATTTCCAAAACATTCAATTCCTTTTCCCTTCTTTTCAAACTATTCACGTAGATGTATCCGGACGAAAAGTATCTCTCAAAAACATAAATTTCTCAATTTTCTCAGGCTCAACCTACCAAAACAAAGAACATCTAATGTTCAAGGGACTTCAAACTAGGCAATCACTTACCAATCGAATCTACTTTACTCTGAATGCCACGAGATTCCATTTCGTGATGAGAATTTCCATGAACGATAAATTTCGAAATCGAATCGATTATCGCTATTCGTCATCACAGAAATTGATTCTAAATCATTGTCTCTAAGCCAGTGTGCATGGTCATTAGCTTGTGACGCAAAGCGCAACTGGGTATGTGGTCGGTTTGTGATCAGGTGGTACACGTCGGGGTCGTCAGAATGCAACTTCGTCGAGTACTTCGAGCCCCTCTCCCGCAGCGCCCTCTGCGACCGCTGCGGGAGCATCCACGCAGCCACAGCCACAGACGCAGCCGGCACAACCTCCAGCGCAGCAGTCGCAGCAGCAACCGTCCCAGCAACCGTCCCAGCAACAGACGCCGCCGTCGCAGCAGCCACAATTGCCTGCGGCGCAGACGACGGCAGCGCCAGCCTCGCCTACGATACCGGCGGTGAAGGAAGAGCACCTACCGGCAGTGTCATCACCAGGGACTGCCGTCCCCTCGCCTTCGTCGGTGAGAACGGAGGGCCCACCAACGCCAGGGATGAACGAAAAAAAAGCTGGCAAATCCGCGCAACCGTCCCCGTACTGTGACTTCTGTCTGGGCGATGCTAGGGAAAATAAAAAGACCGGCGGCTCCGAGGAGTTGGTCTCTTGCAGTGATTGCGGTCGCTCAGGTAAGCCAGAGGAAAAGATCAAGCGCAAGTATACGCGGAGAACGAATCACAATTAAGGTTCAGTTGCCCGAGTCACCGCGGACATCTGTTGCGTTCGGTGCAATAGTTTGTAGCGTATTTCGGCGATGATCGTGATGTATCATGTTCATCGATCGAACATCCGTAGCCGGGGATGTAGCTCTTCTCGTTTTCCGATGATCTGTGCACTATCGGCTGTGTATGTGGGGACGAATATTTGATTTGGACCGATTGGTATATTCGTGAAACGAATATAAACTAACCTAACCTACAAGCGTGTAGAATTACATTTCAGTTACGGCTCGGTAGGTGAATTAGGATTAATTTTAGCCAATTTGGATGAGATGTTTATCAAGGAGATATTTTATGAACGTTGTGTTTTTATATAGCGCACGGTTATTCCTGTCGAGGGATCTAAATGGACTTCTGCCTCTTCCTAAGGGAGATTTACGGGGAATTGATGTTATTGTTATCGAGGAAGCGACACCTTCATGCTCCAACGTTTTCCAATAGCCTACTTGGTCCTTTGTCTTCCGGAAGTATAAAATTAGATTCATCTCATATCCAGTATAGAAAAGGTTCAATATTCCTTACTCTTCGATAGTCTATTTTACTAATTATGCTTCTAACTATAATGCAATTTTATATGTCCTTTTCTATAGCCTTGTCACTGTCTCTTCTGAAAACAAAATTATCAGCGAGCAGCAATTGTATCATTTTCGAAATCTACTAATAGGAATGCATTAGTAGGAAATGTATATAAGTTTTGAAATTGGAAATTGTGTCGTCCCCATGGAACATGGCCGATAGCGCGAGTTATTCTCTCCTGTGTCTCCTTACGATCCGCGACTTGTGTTCACACGGCAAGAGCCAAGGAATCATGGCGCCTCTTCGCTGTTCGTTCGATCACCCATGTGTGGTCTATTAATTAACTAGCGTTTGTCGTTGAACTGTTCGTCTGTTGAAGTGCATTTTTTCATTCGTATCGTCAGGATCGTTTTTTTATTTTCTGTTCGTTTTTAGACGAATCATTGTTATTGTCCATCGTCGATTCGACGGTTATCGTACCGATTCGATTGCTATTTTTCATACCGTCATGGATAATTCGATTTGTCGATGAAAGAGGATCGTAACGAAAGAGAAAAAGGACGTAAAGAAAAATAATAGATAAAGAAAAATGAAGAAAAGTGAATGGCAAAAAAAGTGAGAAAAAATACTATTTTTCGGATTGAGGTTAGGTTGATAAACTAGTTGCTGTGTGACATACGTTCGGAACCATCGTTAGAAAGTAGTTCATGTGTGCAATAATTAAGGGATATCGATTATCTGCACGGTTTCTAGATGGACAAAAATAAAAAAAAAAAAAAATGAGAGAGAGGAAAAAATATGAATGGTTACGAGCTTTACGTACACTAGTCAAGGCACGAAAAGCAGAAACATCACTTTGTCAATGGTGCAACTTGTCGCATCTGAGTAATAGGAATTTCCGACAAAATTCCTTTACTGCACGGATCAACTGTGATTTATTGTGTAATTCAATGATTAGTTTTTAAGGCACAAAAAAATTTTTACAAAGGAAAGAGAGATAAAAAGGACAAGAAAACGAATGAAGAAATAAGAAAGATTAACTATGTACAAAAATCAATTCAAGATGAAAATACACGAATCTTACGCTGGATATTTAAGGAAGAAGGAAAAAGAGGGTTGAATAAAAAATGACAAGGAGAAAAAGAGACAAAACGTCGACGAGATAAGTAATCGTATAATTTGCGGAGATATGTGAAAGTTTTTAAAGGAAAAAAAGGAAAAGAATCATAAATTGACGCGTTTGAATGTTTTTAAAGCAAAAAAAAAAAAAGGAAAAAAAGAAAAAAATGGAATAAAATAGCAGAAAAATAAAAAATTCCTGTTGCACAGTATCACTAGAGCACATATTGAAGAAGTATATTATTGATATTATTCAGCACAGTCGTGAATCGTTTAACGAGAGTAACAATATTTATATATAGTAAGATGAAGAAAAAAAAAGAGGATCGACCATGTTTTTTCGATACTTCTACACTTTTTCAAGTCTGTAAATATCCTTTTTATTTTGCGTTTTTTTCGAGTGTTTCTATTTACAAAATATATTACCATAGAATACTACACCACAAGAGCGCAGCACATATAACGCTAGTAAAAAAAAACAACAAATACTACCGTTTAAAATACTCAATTAAAGAAGTCGCAAAAAAAAAGAATTCATTTTTACGATACCACGAACATGATTCATTATCATATCATACTTTTTCTTTAATTTTATCTTCGCTGTCGATATTTTGCATTTTTCTCGACGAAAGGAAAGGAAAATTGATTTTTCGTACGAACGTAGGAATTGTTTAAAAAAAGTATTGCATCGTTAAATTTGTAAGTCGTCCGCCATTTTTTAACGCGATACTATAGACGAGGTACGTGCTCTTTTAATAATTAGTTTGCAAAGGTTTTGATATAATCTTGACGAAAAATCGCTGTTTGGATTTAAAACAAAAAAAAAGGATTCCTTCGCGTGTCATTTTTTAATTTTCTTTTTTTATTTTTATTTCTATTTTTTTTCTCTCCTGTTTAGACATTCCACGTGTAAATCTGCTGCTCTTAAAATCTTCCGTTTCGTTCTGGGCATTAATCGTTTCCGTCTCATGTTGCAAATGTAATACATAATATAGTAATCGCCTTTTTATCACTCGTAATCGCCATGAAATGGCGAGCATATTTATTGCATACATAGAGGAAGAAAGAACAAGTGAACTGACGACATATTACAAGCTGAAATTGCATGTACAGTGAGAGGGTGTAAAAGTAACGATATTACTTTCTTTTTTTTCCAAACGAGTTTCTCCAGATTTCAGGCAGGATTTCGACCGTACGTCGTGTTTTAACGATAAAGAAAAAAATGAAAAAAAAAGAAAAAAAACAGATAAAGATATATCACGTAATCTTAGAGACTCGATAATAGCTTAGTTTTGTACAAGCTTTGATATTCGTACAAGAAAATATCGTTCGAACGCTAGATATTAACGAGGAGAAAAAAAGGAAAAAAAGTGAGAGAAAAAATACTTGTATAATATTTCACCAGGTTTTTCGCCATGGCGGAGGTCGTCATCGTCGCCATTCGTGTATAATTAATCAACCCTCCGCCCCCCCTTCCACCGCCCGCCACCCCCTGAACGGTACTGCAGTCCACGCGTTCGTTTTTCACGATTAGTAGCTGGTTTCTAACGCTAACGTTATATCATTATCATAGATTTATAAATAATCGATGCAAGCGAGTTGTAACGTACGTACGTGTACTTGATACTTTCCCTTGTTATTACCTTACGTCCGACGTGTACAAGCGCAGTGGGTAGATTGCTAATTTCACGGAGCGTCTGATTAACCGACCGAAGTGCACAGCGCAGAAACACACGCAGGAATTCCTTAGGATTATCGTCTTTAAGTGTTACACGCAGTTCTTTTGTATCCTTCTATTGAAGCGCCGTCGACGGCGGTTTCTCGAGTCTTACCAAATAATGAGAGAAAGAAAATGGAAGGTGAAAGAAGATAGGGTTCATAGAGGAAAGGAGAATATATAGATGGGAAAGGAAACAGAGAGGGAAGAAGAAATAATGTGTTAACGGCGAGAGATCCTTTAGGGTAACTTTATAATTTAATAGCGCTCGTGCGACGAGAAAAATAAATCTCAAGGTGAATCACTATCGTATCTTGATAAACCTTTCTATTTACCGTATTACGAGAGACTCACACACATGGTATAAGAGAGAGGGAGAGAGAGAGAGAGAAAGAAAGAAGAGAAATGATGAAAGATAGAGAAAAAAAAGTAATTACGAGTATGAAAGCATGCAGAGATAGTTCCTCCTTGTTATATAAAAGAAAAAAAAAAAAAAAA